TGTTAAATTATTTGCAGAAGGTTTTCAACTTACTTTGCCCAAGTCACCTAAAGAAATCACGCTCTAAGGCAGCTATAACCTTATAAAATATATTTCTTAAATAATAAGGCTTGAAAGTCAACTTTATTTCTCAGTCTGTGTTCTGTAGAATGGATGCTGTGTTTGTAGGCACAAAAATGACATGAATCTCCTTATACATCTCTATCAGAGCTCTTGGGTGACCAGGTGCATTGACAAAGAGCAGTAGTATTTTGAAAGGGATTTTTTTTTTTTCTGAGCAGTAGGTCTGAATAGTGGGCTTAAAATATTCAGTAAACCATGCTGTCAACAGACGTGCTGTCATCAAGGCTTTGTTGTTTCATTTATAAGGGACAGGCAGAGTCAGTTTGGCATAATTAAGGGTCCTGTGATTTTCAGAAAGAAAAATGGGCATTGGCTTTAAGTTAAAATCACCAGCTGCATTAACCCCTAACAAGAGATTTGGTGATTTGAAGCCAGGCATTGACTTCTTTTTTCTAGTTGTAAAAGTCCTAGATGACATCCTCTTGCCGTATAAGGCTGTTTTGTCTACACTGAAAGCCTGTTGTTTAGTGTGGCCACTTTTACCAATTATCTCAGCTAGATCTTCTGGATAGCTTAGTGCAACTCGTACATCGGCACTTGCTGCTTCACCATGCACGTTTATGTTACAAAGAAGACATCTTTTCTTTTTTTTTTGAGACGGAGTTTCGCTCTTGTTACCCAGGCTGGAGTGCAATGGTGCGATCTCGGCTCACTGCAACCTCCGCCTCCTGGGTTCAGGCAATTCTCCTGCCTCAGCCTCCCGAGTAGCTGGGATTACTGGCACGCGCCACCATGCCCAGCTAATTTTTTGTATTTTTAGTAGAGACGGGGTTTCACCATGTTGACCAGGATGGTCTCGATCTCTTGACCTCGTGATCCACCCGCCTCGGCCTCCCAAAGTGCCCTAGAACCACTCTCTGCTGGCTTCTAATTTTCTTCTGCAGCTTCCTCACCTCTTTCAGTCTTCATTGATTTGGATTATTGAAGAGAGGGCCTGATCTTTATTTGGCTTTGGCTCAAGGGAATGTTGTAGCTGTTTTGTTCTTCTATCCGGATCACTAAACCTTTCTTTATATCAGCAGTAAGGCGGCTTCACTTTCTTATCATTCGAGTTCACGGAAGTAGCACTTTTCGTTTCCTTTGAATTCACAACGTGGCTGTTTGGTACAAGAGGCCTAGCTTCCTGTCTAGCTCAGCTTTTGACAAACTTTCCTCACTACGCTGAGTTATTTCTAGCTTTTAAATTAAAGTGACAAACGTATTGCTCTTTTTAACTTGAAAACGTAGAGGTCATTTTAAGGTTATTAACTGGCCTAATGTCAATCTTGTTGTTTCTTAGAGAATAGAGACCTGAGGAGATGGAAAAAGATAGAGGAACGGCCGTTTGATCAAAACACACAGAACATTTATTAAGCTTGTTGTCATCTGGGTGTGATTCATGATGCCCCAAAATAATTACAAAATTAACACGGAAAATCACTGATTCCAGATTATAACAGACACAATAGTAATGACAAAATTTTAAATATTGCAGAAATAACACATGTGACACAGAGACATGAATTAAGCACGTGCTTTCTGGGAAAATGACACTGATGTAGGGTTACCACGTGCTTTCAATATGTGAAACAATGCACTGTCTGTGGACTGCAGGAGAGAGAGTTATGCCAGTTTAACTCCTTTCTTCACATCTTTTTTTTTTACAGTTTTGCACTTAATGTCTATTCTATCTGATGTAACTATTGCTACCCCTGCTCTCTTTCAGTTTCCAATTGTATGAAATATTTTTTTCCATTTCTTCACTTTCTATTTCTGTTATTACCAGGGAAGTGAGTCTCCTGTAGTTGGGTCTTTAACAAAACAGAGGCACCGGAGGCAACACAACATACATACAACTATACAATCTTTGATAAACCTGACAAAAACAAGCAAGGGGGAAAGGATTCCCTCTTTAACAAATGGTGTTGGGAAAACTGGCTAGCCATGTGCAGAAAGCAGAAACTGGACCCCTTCCTGACACTTTACACTAAAATTAACTCCAGATGGATTAAAGACTTAAACATAAGACTTGGCACGATAAAAACCCTAGAAGGAAATCTAGGCAAAACTATCCAGGACATAGGAGTAGGCAAGGACTTCATGAACAAAACACCAAAAGCATTGGCAACAAAAGCCAAAATAGACAAATGGGACCTAATGAAACTCCACAGCTTCTGCACTGCAAAAGAAACAGTCACTAGAGTGAATCGGCAACCAACAGAATGGGAAAAAATTTTTGCAGTCTACCCATCTGACAAAGGGCCGATATCCAGAATTTACAAAGAACTCAAACGGATTTACAGGAAAAAAACAAACAAGCCCATTCAAAAGTGGGCAAAGGATATGAACAGACACTGTATGAAAGAAGACATATATGAGGCCAACAATCATATGAAAAAATGCTCATTGTCACTGGTCATCAGAGAGATGCAAATCAAAACCACATTGAGATACCATCTCACGCCAGTTAGAATGGCGATCATTAAAAAATCTGGAGACAACAGATGCTGGAGAGGATGTGGAGAAACAGGAACACTTTTACACTGTTGGTGGGAGTGTAAATTAGTTCAACCATTGTGGAAGACAGTGTGGCGATTCCTCAAGGCCTTAGAAATAGAAATCCCATTTGACCCAGCAATCCCATTACTGGGTATATATCCAAAAGACTATAAATCGTTCTACTATAAGGACACATGTACACGAATGTTCATTGCAGCACTGTTTACAATAGCAAAGACCTGGAATCAACCCAAATGCCCATTGATAATAGACTGGATTGGAAAAATGTGGCACATATACACCATGGAATATTATGCAGCAATCAGAAATGATGAGTTTGTGTCGTTTGTAGGGACATGGATGAATCTGGAGAACGTCATCCTCAGCAAACTGACACAAGAACAGAAAATGAAACACCGCATATTCTCACTCATAGGCGGGTGATGAAAAATGAGAACACATGGACACAGAAAGGGGAGTACTAAACAGTGGGGTCTATTGGGGGGAAAAGGGGAGGGCCAGTGGGAGGGGGAGGTGGGGAGGGATAGCCTGGGGAGAAATGCCAAATGTGGGTGAAGGGGAGAAGGAAAGAAAAGCACACTGCCATGTGTGTTCCTACACAACTGTCTTGCATGCTCTGCTCATGTACCCCAAAACCTAAAATCCAATAAAAAATAAAAAATAAAAAAAATTCCATTCATCCAACCCATATCTTTTTATTGGAGAATTTAATCTATTTACATTCAAAGTAATTACTGATAAGTGAGTTCTTGCTAATACCATTTGTAATTTGTTTTCCAGTTTTGTTTCTTTTTTTTTTTTTTTGTATTATAATAGTAGTATGATTTATTGCAAGAAAATTTGAAAAATACACAAATATTAAGAAAATAGTAAACTATCTTCCATAACATCTTCCTCTGGTCATTGTTGGCATTTTGGAATATTTCCTTCTAGCTTTGCTTCTGAATCCTTTCCTTTATGCTGTTCTTTTTTTTGAGACAGAGTGTCACTCGGTTGCCCAGACTGGAGTGCAGTGGTGTGATCTCGGTTCACCTCAAGCTCCACCCCAGTTTTGTTTCTATAGATCCTTTGTTCCTTTCTTACTCTCTCGCTGTGTTATTTTCTGATTAGATCTTTTTTTCTAGCGGTATGCACTAATTGCTTACTTTTTAGCTTCCCTGTATGTACTATGGATTTTTGCTTTGTGTTTACCAAGGGACTTATGTAAAACAGCTGATAAATTTAACTTTTATCCATTCCCTTCCGCATTGTACCTCTTTGATGTCACCATTTCTCTTTTCATATTGTGTATATCTTAAGAAATAATTACAGCTGTGATTATTTTAATTATTTGTCTTTTAATCTTTATACTAAAAATTTAAATAGTTTACACACCACCATTACATTATTAGAATATTCTGAATTTGACAGTGCACTTACTTTTATCATTGGGTTTTCTTCTCTCACATGTTTTCACTGGATCTTAGTCAAAAGGCTGAGAAGTGATTTCTCATATGTTTCTATTTTGCCAATTAGTATCTTTTTCTTTCAGCTTGGATGACTTCCTTTAGCATTTATTAAAAGGAAGATCTATTGATAATAAGATTTCTCAACTCTTTTTTGTTGCTGTTCTGGGAAATTCCTTCTCCTTTATTTCTGCAGTATAGCTTTGCCAGCCAAAGTATTCTTGGTTGGCAGACATTTTTCCTTGAGCATGTTGAATATATTATCTCACTCTCTCCTGGACTCTAAAGTTTCTGTTGAGAAAGTCACGGCAAATCTTACTGAAACTTCCTTATATGTGATATATTTATTTTCTCTTGCTGCTTTTAGAATATTTTCTTTGTCTTTTATTTTTGACAGTTTGATTATATGTCCTAGTGTAGTCTTGCTTGGATTGTATCTGAAGACCTTTGACCTTCCTATACCTGAATATTTATGTTTCCCAGATATGGGAAGTTTTAAGATATTTTTATTTAACTAAAGTTTCTGTCCCTTTGCCTCTTTTCTTCTTTAATTCCTATAGTTCAAATATTTTCTGTCTTGATTCTATTCTATGATTTCTGTAATCTTCCTTAATTTCTATTCATTCTTTTTTCTCTCTGACTGTATATTTGCAAATAACTTATCTTCTGGTTCACAAAATTTTTCTTCTCCTTGATCATTTCTGCTGTTGGTGTTTACTGCATTTTTCATTCCATTCATTGTATTATTCAGCTCTAATTTTTATATTTTTTACGATTTAAATATCTGTTAAATTTCTTTGTTTGCAAAAATTGAAAAGTGGGACCTATTTAAGCTTAAGAGCATCTGTGCAGCCTAGAAAACTATCAATAGAGTAAATAATGGCTGACTCATAGGAAATACTTTTTTTTTTTTTTTTTTTTTTTTAGTGGTGGTTAGTGATTTATTCGCCTCTTAAGGCCTCATCAGCAGGTGGAATGGAAGACACCTCCCACCCTGACCCCTTGGGCAACCAAGGCATTATACTCCTTCACTGCCTGCTCTGTCTGGAGGACCTGCACATCAATGCCATGTTTCTTGAGGTACTCCACAGTTGATGAAGGAAACTTCAAGGCCTCACTCATCCCTCGGCCAATCACAAGAGTCTGTATACCTTTCTCAACAACTTCCTTCACATCTGCAGGCTGCACTCCAGGAGAATGCTCAGTTCCTGTTTCTCTCCAATCCCAAGTCCGACTACCCCCTGGCCATACTTTGCAGTCCTTATAGGTTGTATTAGAGCCTTGTACTTTCATTTGCCCCCATGATAAGGAAGCAATTTCAGGGGAAGTCATAAGGAGGAAATACTTGCAAACTATAAATTCAACAGAGGTCTAATATTCAGAATCTATAAGAGATTTAGACAAATCAAAAAGCATAGAACAAGTAATTCCATTAAAAATGCACAAAGAATATGAACAGACACTTCTCAAAAGAAGACATAAAAGCAGCCAACAAACATATGAAAATATTATAATTATTACTAATGATCAGAGAAATGCAAATAAAAACCACAATGAGATATCATCTCACACCAGTCAGAATTGCTGTTATTAAAAAGTCAAAAAGCAGACGCTGGCAAGGCTGTGGAGAAAAGGTAACAGTCATACACTATTGTTGGGAATGTTAATTAGTTCAGCCACTGTGGAAAGCAGTTTGGAGATTTCTCAAAGGACTTAAAGCAGATACCATTAGACCCAGCAATTCCATAATGGGCATATATGCAAAGGAAACTAGATCATTATAACAAAAAGACACATCATGTACTCATATGTTTCTCATCACACTATTCTCAGCAGCAAAGACACAGAATCAACCTAGGTGCCCATCAGAGGTGGACCAGAAAAAGAAAATGTGGTACATATACATCATGGGATACTGCACAGCCATGCAAAGAACAAAATCATGTCCTTTGCAGCAACATGGATGGAGCTGGAAGCCATAATCCTGAACAAATTAACCCAGGAACAAAAAAAACAGATACTGCATTCTCTTATAAGAGGGAGCTAAACACTGAGCACCCATTGATACAAACATAGCAAAAATAGACACTGCAAACTACTAGCTGGCGGGGAGAGGGAGGCAGGAGAGGTTGAAAAACTACCTGTTAGGTACCATGCTCACTACCTAGGTGTAATATGCCCACGTAACAAACCTGCACTTGCACCTCTGTATCTAACATAAAAGTTGAAAAAAAAAAACTGTTTGTTAATGTACTGTTGTTAGGATTTTGTTGAATTGCTTCTCTGTATTTTTTTGAAGTTTACTGAGCTTTCTTAAAACAATTATTTTTAGGTGTTTTTTTCCGGTCAGGCACTTTGTATAGCTCAATTTTTTAAGGGTGCATGACCAGGAAGTTATTGTGGTTATTGTCTCAGTGATGATATTCCTCTTTGTTTTTCATGTTTCTTCTCACCTTGTATTGATGTGTGCACATGTAGTGAGCAGACCCCTATTGCAGACTTCATAGGCTACATTTGGTGTAGAAAATCTTCTCCTACTTGGGGAGTGGGTGTAAGAGTGCTGGTTGGGTGGAGTGAGCAATTATAGTGCAGTGCAATGCAACTGTGTATTCTTTATTCAGCTTTCTCAGCTGAGGTTGGTGCTGTTGAAGACTGCAGGGATACTCAGTGGCCAACACTGTGGATGTCTTCTACGGCAACAAGGAGGTTCGGATTTTGGTGGTGATGGCTGCTGAGATTCTTCTGATCTTTCTTCTCTTACTGGGGGTGTTGTGCCTGAAGGGATCCTTCTTGGCACTGGGTCTGGCTTACAGGCCTACTCACGTCGGCAATGGCACCAGTGTCTGGCAAGTGGCACCCGTGGAGCAGCAACAAAGCTGAGGTCTAAATTAGAGGCATGAATGGAGGAACTATGCCCAGGTGGTCTTGGATGGTAACGTAACTGGTGCCTAGAGCACAGGCACCCGTGCTGCCTTTTTGGCAACAGTGTGAGGTGTAGGTGCTTGTTAAACAGCCTAACTGAGGAGAACGGGAGAACAGGCATGCACAGACAAACAGTGATTCTGTTTGGGGTTTGGACAGGGCCAAGTTTTTCATGGACCTGTTGCCCAGAGCATAGGAACATGCGGAGGGACCTTGGCCCTGCGGCCAACTATGCAAATTAGCTCATCGTCATGGTGACTTGATGTTTGACATGTGGGCACACACCGTACAGCCTTAGGGTCTGGAAGGTGGACACTTACAGGGTGGCCATAGCTGAAGCATCTGGAGCAAGTGCAGGGCCGGGAGAGGTGGCAGCCCTGGTCCCGAAGTAGCATAACAGAGGCTGCTTCTAGACAAGGGCTGTGCAGCGACATCTCCCTCTCTGGGGTTCCCCAGTAGAAGTGGCTACTGGTTACCTCAGTAGCAAAAGAGGCTGGTGTTCTCTGTAGAGCAGGCCACTGGGGGCCATGATGGGTCCTGCCGTGTGTCTAATCCACCTTTCTTCTTTGTTCTATGCTGTCTCCTGGCATCGCAGGTTTTCCAGTCTCATCAGCAAGCCTTTCTGTGTGGATAGTCTGTGCTGCTTTGTTCTACTATGTTGTTGTTACAGATTGTTTAATGGGCCCTTGAGCTGTCCAAAGACTATTTTGGTTTCTGAATAGGCATCCATGTGTTTTTTTGTGGAGGGATGGAAGCTGGTATCTCCTGTTCCTGGTGACATCCCAGACTCTCTTAATCAGACTTCCTGCTTAGATCCACATGCATTTCTGTTAAATGGAAAACATAAAATAAATTACTGTGGATAAGTAGGTTGTGATTGTTCAAAGAGAGGAAGTGGGGTTTTGCTCTACTCTTGATTTCTACTATCTTGGCCCAGCTCTCATAATTTATCTGAAATATTATCATGATTTCTTCTCTATCAGCTTTGATTGGAATTCAGTCAGGAAATGTGGTGAGTCCAGTTTTATGCTTCCTACTCAAGATTGCTTTGATTATTTGAGGTACTTAGTGTTTCTATACAAATTTTAGAATTGTATTTTCTACTTCTTTAAAAAAATGACATTGGAATTTTAATACAGATTGCATTGAATCTGTAGATTATGTTGATATTTTAGCAAAATCAATCATTCCAATTCATAAACTCTCTTTACATTTATTGTTATATTTAAAAATATTTTTCATCAAAGTTTTACAATTTTTAGTATAGAAGTGTTTTGCCTCTTTGGCTAAGTTCATTTCTAGTATTTTATTATTTTTGTTGCTAATATAAATGGGAATTTTAAAAAATTACCTTAGTCTATGAAGGGAAAATTCACTTTAAATTTAAAGTGAATCTCTTGTAGACAACATACCTCTTGCTTTATTAAACAATCCATTTAGTCACTCTCTGTCTGATTGGGGATATAATCCACTTGCATTTAAAGTGATTATTAATAGGTAAGGACTAGTGCCATTTTGTTTGTGTGTGTGTGTTTTGAAATTCTGTTGTTCTCTTTCTCTCTTGATGTTTTATTTTGTTGTTTTATTATTCTCGTCGTGGTTTGATTTGATTTTTTCTCTTTATTTTTTGTGTATCTACTCTTTCTTTCCTTCCTTCCTTCCTTTCTTTCTTTCTTTTCCTTTCTTTCTTTCTTTTTCTTTTCCTTCCTTTCTTTCTTTCTTTTCTTTCTTTCTTTTCCCTTCTTTCTTTCTCTTTCTTTCTCTCTCTCTTTCTTTCTTTCTTTCTTTCTTTCTTTCTTTCTTTGTTTTTTGATGGAGTCTTGCTCTGTTGCCCAGACTACTAGAGTGCAGTGATGAAATCTCTGCTCACCGCAGCGTCTGCCTCTGAGGTTCAAGCAACTCTCCTGCCTCAGCCTCCTGAGTAGCTGGGATTATAGGCACTCACCACCATGCCTGGCTAATTTTTGTATTTTTGTAGAGATGTGGTTTTACTATTTTGGCCAGGCTGACATTAAACTCCTGACCTAAAGTGATCTGCTTACCTTGGTTTCCCAATGTGCTGGGATTACCAGTATGAACCACTGTGCTCAGCCTCTACTGTATATTTTCTTTTTGGTAATCACGATGCTTGTTTAAATCTTGTATTTATTATTCTCTAATTTAATTTGATAACAACTTAAGTTCAATTATATACAAAAACTTTATGCTTTTATACCCACTCCCCCAATTTGTCTTCTTGATGTCAGAGTTTACTTATTTTTACAATGTACACTTGTTGTCAAATTTTTGTGGTTACTATTATTCTTAATAATTTTGTATTTTGATTTTTACATTATGATTATGTGCATGTCACACACACCACTGCAGTGTTATATTGTTCTGTACTTTACTGTGTATTTACCTCTATCTAAGCTTTATGCTTCCAAATGCTCTCATGCTGCAGGTTAGCACATTTTCAGTTCCATTCTGGGGCTCCCTTAAGCATGTCTTGTAAGGCAAGTCTAATGAGAAACAAATAAAAACAAACAAACAAAAAAACCAAAACTCCTTTTCATTCCTTGTCTGTGGCAGATGTTGTAGCTCTCACTTTGAGAGGACGCCTTTGCAGCATGTGGTTTCCATGATGGTTTTTCTTTTTCTTTCTCTCTTTCAGGATGTTGAGCACATCCTCTCACTCTCTCCCGGCCTGTAATGTTCCTGTTGAGAAATGCATTAGTAAACGTACCGAGGTTCCCTTGTATGCGACAGGTCACTTCTTTAATCTGCTTTTAAAATTCTTTCTGATTTTGACTTCTGACAGTTTAACTATAATTTGTTTTAGTGTGGTCCACTTTATATTCTACCTCTCTGGGGTTCTGTGGGCTTCTTGAACCTGTATGTTTATTTCCTTGCTAGATTTGGAGTATGTAATATTATTATTTTTTAAATGAGTTTTATACTCCTTTCTCTTTCTCCTCTCCTTCCGAGACTCTCAAAATGTGTGCATTAGTTCACTTGATGGTGTCCCGTATGTCCTATAGGCTTTCTGAGTTTTTCACACAGTTTTCACTCCCTTTCCCATCTGGGTGATTTCCAATACCTGTCTTTCAGTTAGCTGTTCTTTTATTCTGCTTGACTTTTATTAGTACCTGCTGTTGAAGATCTCTATTGAATTTTTGGTTCAGTCATTTTATTCTTCATTGCCAGTTTTTGTGTTTGGTTCTTTTTTATGCTTTCTAATTGTTTGTTAATTTCTGACTTTATTCTTGTGTTATTTTTCTAATTTTTGTTAAATCATTTATATGTGTTCTCTTGCATTTTTCTAAGCTTCTTTAGAACAATTATTTTAATTTTTTGTAAATTGTAGATCTCCCTTTTAAAAGAATAATTTCTGGATGTTTATCATCTCCCTTTGCCAGTGTTATATTTCCATATTTTTTGAGTTTTTTA